TACCCAAAGTATTAGGTTCAAAAACAATACTGTTTGCAGATGACGCCAAGATCTGGAACACGCTAACAGAACCAGAGGGCTCTCTAACACTTCAGCAATCACTCAACGCAGCTTATCAATGGTCTAAGGAGAACGACATTGAATTTAATGTTTCTAAATGCATACATATCCTTACGACACAAGCGGAAGTTCTCGTATTTCCTCGGGGACCAGCAGCTACCACATACTTCTAGCGAAAAGGACTTAGGTGGGATTTAAGCTGCTTCAGGGCTAAGGCTTCGTCTGTTGCTGTGAAGAATGTCGGCTTACTTCGGTGAGTCTTTGGCCGGTTTGAATCATCTCTATCCCCACGTTTGCTATCAGCGTACATTGGACCCTATACAGAGTACTCCATCCAAGCTTGGAGTCCATGGCTTCAACGTGATCGCAAGATGCTTGAGTGTTCATAAAAGATGGCCACCAAGATGGTCAAGGGACTCCAGTACCTGACATACGAGGAGAGATTGCGATTAATGGGACTATATTCTGCTCAGTACCGCCGAACTCGAGGAGACTTGATTTTGACGTATCAAATACTGCAGAAGCCAAACCATCCGTGNTTCACTGTACCCTACATTCTCTACTATCTCCTACCCGGAACTCGATGGGACTCCTTTTTCGATGTGTACCGATTCATCTGTGTAAATATCCTATGGGACAATAGAATCACCAGCTTGCAAGTTAGTCCCATAATAAAACTTTGACTTTGACTCTGAGATCGTTTATTTTAACGGAGCGAAACTACAGCTACATAGAAAAATAAACCCTGGCTATCATCTTTTCTGTGACAAAGTTTAGTAAAATGCTATACCATCCACAAGCCACTGACAGCTATTTTTGGCTNATGGTCAAGGGACTCCAGTACCTGACATACGAGGAGAGATTGCGATTAATGGGACTATATTCTGCTCAGTACCGCCGAACTCGAGGAGACTTGATTTTGACGTATCAAATACTGCAGAAGCCAAACCATCCGTGTCGATCACTGCTCATGTTATCGAAAAATGTACACCTACGGGGACATCGTTTCAAACTACTGATTCCCATGTGTCGACTGGATTGCCGGCGCCAGTCTTTTGCTGTCAGAGTATGCAGATCTTGGAAAGCCCTTCCATCTCGTGTCGTTTGTACACCCACTAT